AGCCTGTAAACCTGTGGTTATGATTCCAGTTGGAGGGAGTTCTCCATTATGCTAATAGAGAGGATGAAGGTGGGATGTATTCTGAGTCTCCACCTTCCTAGAGGGTGTTAGTTCACCACCTGCTGAAATACAAAACCCACACCTCCATCAAAGCCACTCCCCTGTATAAGGATTATCTCAGAAGCAGAGGGAAAATCCAAGGGCCATTGGAAGAAGAGCCACGAATGGACCATGTCTGAGATTTCTGAAATGGTAAAGGCTGAAACCATGGTCCAGAGCAGGGGTAGGGAAGGTCTAGCTCAAGGGCCATATTTTAAAACAAACAAACAAACAGAAAGACAACCAAACTCACTACCATTGAGTCGATGCTGCCTGGTCCCAATAGGACCAGGTAGAACTGTCCTGTGAGTTTCTGAGACAGTAACTGCTTATGGGAGTAAAAAGCCCGTCTGTCTCCTGAGGAGCAGCTGGTGGTATTGAACTGCCTACCTTGAGGATTGCAGTCCAATACATAACCACTATGCTACCTTGGGTCCTGTGGGCCATATAAGACATGAAAAAATCAATACCAACTAACATCACACGCCTCACCAAAAAGCGGTTCCAGCCCTCACATGCGTTGTTCTAAAGTTTAAGCCTCTTGTTGCAGCCACTGTGTCGATCCCTCTTATCGAGGGCCCTGCTCTTTTTTTGTGGGTCTTCTACTTTACCGAGCAGGATGTTCTTCTGCAGAGACTGGTCTCTCCTGACAACATTCCCAAAAGATGTGAGAAGTCTCGCCATCCTTCCTCCTAAGGAGCATTCTGTTGGTTTTTAATCATTTTATTGGGGGCTCTTACAGCTCTTGACACAATCCATCCATCCATCCATGGTGTCTAGCACATTTGTACATATATTGCCATCATCATTTTCAAAACACTTTTTTACTTGAGCCCTTGTAATTTATAATTTTTTTTTCACGTCTTGCATCGACTGCTGTCTCCCTTCACTCACTTTTCTGTGTCCATCACCCTGGGGGGCAGAGGGTTATATGTTGATCATTGTGATCGGTTTCCCCATTCTCCCCCTACCTTCCCTTTACCCTCCTGGTATCGCTACTCTCATTATTGGTCCTGAGGGGTTTATCTGTCCTGGATTCTCTGTTTCCAGCTCTTATCTGTACCAGTGTACGTGCTCTGGTCTAGCTGGATATGTAAGGTAGAATTGGGGTCATGATAGTGTCTGTGGGAGGTGGGGGTGGGAGTAAGCATTAAAAAACTAGAGGAAAATTGTATGTTTCATCAGTGCTATGCTACACCCTGACTGGCTCATCTCTTCCTAGTGACCTTCCTGTGAGGGGATGATCAATTGTCTACAGATGGGCTTTGAGTCTCCACTCTGCCCTCCCCCTCATTCACATCCATATGATTTTTTGTTTTGGGTCTTTGATGTCCAAGGAACATTCTGGTTGTACTTCTGCCCACACAGAACTGTTTGTTCTTCTGGCAGTCCATGGTCCTTTCAGTATTTTTCACCAGCACCACAATTCAAAAGCGTCCATTCTTTTTTGGTTTGCCTTATTCAATGTCCAATTTTCACCTGCATATGAGGCGATTAAAAAGATCATACACACGTTAGTTCTCAAAGTAACATTCTTGCATTTCAACACTTTAAAAGTGATCATGTACAGCAGATTTACCCAGTGCAAAGTATTCTTTCACGTCTTAACTGCCGCTTCCATGAGCACTGACTGTGGATCCTAACAAGATGGAATCCTTGACAGTCAATCTTTTCACCATTTACCAGGATGTCACTGTCGGTGCTGTTGTGAGGATTTTGCTTTTCTACTGAAGGCTGCAGTCCTTGATCTTCATCAGCAAGGGCTTAAGTCCTCTTCGCTTTCAGCAAGATTGTGTCATCACCTTAGCAGTGAGCTCATCAAACATCTGACCAAATGGAGCAGCGGAATTAATGGCAGGAAAGTGGAAAAGAACGAAGGCTGGAGGCATGTCTGAGCCATATGGCAATCAGCTGTGGGTTTGTGTGGACAAGGATTTTCCTCCCTTGTGTAGCCAGAGATCAGATGCCACGCACTCACACCTCCTCACTAAAATGGTAGCTGCAGGCAGGTGGGGACTCCTGCCTTTATTGCATACTCCAGAAATCCTCTTTCCCTCCCTATGGCCTATCCCCCAGCCTGCATTCCCTGTAACACCTTGTATCAGTTTGTATCAGATGCACTCTCCACGCCTCCTGCCCTTCCCTGCTGGGAAACCAAAAGAAGACAACTAAAAACCAAATCGCAGCAAGGTGGTAAGGATAGGATCATATTAGTACACAGACAACAATACCAATGATGTGTGAGAAGGAGCAGACCTCCATCAACATTCAAAAAGCCAAGGAAGAAATTTCTGTCATGGAACAACTAAAAGAGACTTGCACCCAGAACAATTTCAGGTCATGTCTACAAAGAAGTCAACTGGCCAAATATCGTGTTCGATCTAAGGGGTCACATAGTCTTGAATCATGCCCTGAACAAATCTGGCATGTTCTTCTCACATACTGGATGTGTCCCAATCATGGTCCCATTCACACTTCTGAAGTCCTGCTTGCAATTATGATGTATCGATCTGCCACCAATCATGCTTCTGTGGCAGCTTCCTTTGTCCACCTATGTTCTATTTAAACTACTGATTCTCTGTAAACCTTTGAACGCCATTATGACTTCTTGCCTTTGAGATTTGGGGGTCTCGTTGGCACCTTAAGACAAATGTTAACTTTTCCAAGAAGCCCACCAGTCAACTTTGCTGGGCTATATGTTATCCACTCTCCTCTAGCCTATTTGTAAACGACATCTTCAAAACCCATCTTCCAAGATGTGTCTATGCCACGCAGCACCTACATTCAGTGCGCTCTACTCTCCTCTTCCCAACTTTCCTGGGATCTAATTGCCAAGGTCTGTGTGTCCCAGGGATGTCCAGAGGGATGCATATGTACTCTCTGCCTGTACAGAGCACCACTCTTGCCCTAAAACCGCCCAAAGGAAAACACATGATGTACACACCCTGAGGGAGTAACAGAAACACCCTTTAATGCTATCTCTGGATAGACAAAGAGCCTTCTGGTGCCTTTGACCGAAGCCTAGTTGAACTGATAGGACTGAAATTCAACTGTATAAACCTAGCCAATACATTATTAACCAGTGCTCAGGCCAGGTGCGTCGCAAGGAGAGCAGTCAGTGCAACAGCAGCAGTTCATCCAGGCCTTAACTCCTGACAGCACTTGCTCGGGCTTCTGGCTCCCCATAGCCTCTGGTCTGAGACTTACTTCCTAGGGAGCCTTCCTTCTGGCCCAATCAATCCTACTCCCCCTAACTACCATTTGCCTGCCATGGGAGTTTGTATTTACTTTTGTGCCTTGTATTCAGAATCTTGAGTAGAACCCTAGGTTTGTTGAGATAATATTTGATTTGCACTGGAAACTCCTTACATAAATCTGACACCGTGTTCGACACCGCCTGCCACAGACCATAATATACCATGGACAGGTAAATGAAAAAGAAAAAAAATGTCCCTAAGTTCCACCTCCCACAACTAGTAGAAATTTAACATGTACCAGTTACTTTGTCTTTATACATTTAGAGTTCGTATTGGCCTTTTCTCCCCCACACATCACTCAGGTTTTTATCCATTCTGATGGCTTTATGGCCATCTCTAAAGAAAAGATTCAGCCCAGGTCTGTTTCCTCCTCCACTCCCCCAAATTTCCACCTTTGCATTCTTTCTATTTCATGTAAATGGCACCACTCTTTGTTCTACTACAGCCAGATACTTGGGAACTGACCTTTGTGAATTCTCCCATGTCAATTCCATCCTCAACCCGCCCCCCGCCCCCTCCCCCCACCGGATCTCCGCAGGTTCTTTTTCCTGCTGTAGCAACACAATTACTGCCTCCTCTCCGTCTAATTCGCTACGCGGCTTCCACCCGCGGCCCCTTACAACCTTCCAGTGGTTTCCAAGTTCCGTGGACCCCTCATTCCCTCCTGTCACTTGATACATGCCCTCCACTTTGTGCTGTGCTCTGTTTCCCCCTGAAAATCCAACACCCCCCACCCCCACCCATAGTTGGTTCCTTCTCTCCCTTCAGGTCAGAGCGGCAGTTCTAAGATAGACCTTGCCTGACCTCTTAATAAAATTTGGTCTCCCTAACATTGTTTATCAAAGGCCACGAGTCTGCATTCTCCCCAGTCATAATGGCAACCTGCTCTTGTGATAATCTTGTAGCCTAACAAAGAGTTTTTCTTGGTGTGTGGGACCTGGGATACATTTATAGCACACATTATTATTGCTAGCTGTTTCACTGCCATTCAAATGTAACCAAGCGTCCTGTGTTAGGACTTACTACCGAGGCCAATTGCTTTAATCAGACTTGTCCTAAGTGCCTGGTAACTTACACAAGTAGCTGTACGCCTCCCCGCGCCCCCGCTCCCCCCACCCCCGCTACGGTTTGCATTCCCTCACCGGACATCAATCAGTTTCAACCGCTCCTTAAAAAGGCTTGTTAAAAGTTAATTTGGGAGGGGAATATATTTCAAGACCTAACTTCTTTGTTTTCCACTTCTGTCAAAATAGGATAGGGGTATAGCCCCTCATGGCATTGTTTTCAGAAGTAAAGGAGTGGGAAATATTTAACTCCGAGCCGACCCACCAGAAGCGCCCTCCCACCCCCCCACCGGCATGGCCCTCCTTTCTTAAGCCTATAAACCCGTTTTAGCAGAAAGCAAAAGCGCGCGCACAGCGCAGCGCAGCGCGGAGGGGGGCGGGGAAAACGGTTAGAAACGGGTGCCGGCCTGAACGCGGAGCGGCTGTCGGGTAAAGGGGAGGAGCTATGAATGACTGACAGAGAGGTAGACCAACGGGGAGGCTGGGAACCACTGCCCCCTCCCTCGGCGTTTCAAATTCCGAGCTCGGATTTCATCCGGGTCTTTCAGCCTCGTTCCCGGGCAGTATAAAGTTTGCTGTCTCCTTTGTTCGTCCTCGTTGCGCAGTAGTGCTCGCTGCTTCTCTCTTCCGCTCTCGCGCCGGTAGCCGATCCGCGTGTGGAGTCGCCCACGAAGCGCCGGTTGGCGGGTTCACAGAGTCTTGGAACGACCATCACGTCGCTAGTATGTACCCCTTTTTTTCTCTTGGTACCCTCCTGCATGCTTTTGACATTTTAGAATATGGAATTACCGTTTCCCTGGGGGTAGGGGGGGCGGGTCGGCCGGCGCCATTTTAGAACACAAAGGCGCCAAGTTGTAGACCAGACGGCTGAGGCGCCCCGGGAAGCAAGCCCCAAGGGCAGGGGTTTTGTGCCCTGGGCTGCTCCAGCCCTGAAGCGGCGCCCGGGGGGGGCGGGGCGGGGGCGCGCGGGCCGGGGCGGGACACGGGCGCGCGGGCTTGGCTGGACTGCGGGGTCGGGGCTGAGCCCTCGCGCCGGGCGGCCTGGCTGAGGAAGCCTTCCTCGCCGCCGGGTGGGAAAAGTTGGCCGGCTCCTCGCCGTCAATTGTTCTGGGCGGGATCCAAGTGTCGCCATTTTGTGCACACCACGCGGTTTTTACTGACGGCTTTTAATTGGGCTCTGCCGCAGTCGTGCCGGCTTCAGTGCCCCGGGTTGCGCGTCCGCGCCCCGTTATTTCCTAAGAAACCGTGGTGGCCCCCCCGTGCTTCGTAAGCAACGTAACCTTCTCGCGGGCTTCGCAGCCTGGCAGAAGAGGGGGCGGGAGGCTGAACTTGGCGCAAACTTTGGTTCTCCGCAATAACGACAACAGCCTTTAGGTGGGCGGGAGGCTTGGTGCTAGGTCTGGCCTGTGACCTTGAATGAGTCGGCCAGACTTACAAAAAGCCCCATCATAAGGGTAGTTGGGAGTGTGCTAACTAATCGAATCTGTAAGCAATGAAAACTTGGCATTCGTAGGAAAGCTCCCCCTCACCCTCTGCTCTCCCCCCTCCCCCACCAGCATTGAATTAGCTGTTTGATTAAAAACAGCCGAAGGAGATTAAGGGCAATGGCAAAACGTAAGTTGGCCCCTTTAACCCGGTTAAGATAAATGACATTGTTACTAAACAAATGTAATAGCTTTTAATGCTTTCCTACGGGGATTTAGGCTTGGAAACAATTAGGGGTAACTGGTAATTTGGAGTAATGGTTACAGTGATATGAGGGGGATGCAAATGTACAATTCGTGGGTCTGACCAACTTTTCTAGGGAGACTAATACTATCTTTGTAAACAGAAATTCATCGTTGGGGGAAAATGGTTGAAGCCGATCGGCCTGGGAAGCTCTTCATTGGTGGGCTTAATACAGAAACCAATGAGAAGGCCCTTGAAGCAGTGTTTGGCAAATATGGACGAATCGTAGAAGGTAAATTACAAAAAAAGGTATACATTGGGCCTCTTACCATGGAAAAAATAAACTATGATGAATTTGCTTACATTGATCATCTGAAATGATGCTGTTTTGTCCTCTAAGAAGTTCTGAGTTTACTTATTAACAGTGTGTGACTGGTTATTTCATTGTAACACTGGAAGAGTAAAACCTCTCCCCTAAACTTTTTTTTAAGTACTACTGATGAAAGACCGGGAAACAAACAAATCCAGAGGGTTTGCTTTTGTCACCTTTGAGAGCCCAGCAGATGCTAAAGATGCAGCCCGAGATATGAATG